GGAGAGAGAGAGAGAGAGAGAGAGAGAGAGAGAGAGAGAGAGAGAGAGAGAGAGAGAGAGAGAGAGAGGGGGGGGGAGGAACTAGAAGAAAAAGAATGAAGACGGCGATATCAGTGCTGATAACCACTATAACAATCAAGACCGTTATGACGTCATGTCAGCTGACACCATAGACTTATATCCAAGACTATAAACCCTGACGTACTTTCTGCTCACCCTGGAGAGCTCAGCCATTTGATTCTGTTTGGAAATACATGAAGTGCTAGGAGGGAAAAAGTTGCCGTGCACTCAACTATGTGGCGAGATGTGTGTTTTTTCCTTCATTTTCGCATCCACGATGCGCACCAGTGCAGCAACGTTTTTATAGAAAGTAGAAAAAGGCAGCTGAGACAGTGCCCGGTCTAGGATATTTTGATTCACGTCTCTATGGGCGTCCAGTCAAGTGGTTCGGATACCTCACGCGGATGCCCTCAAACCATCCAGCTCTGAGAGCATACAACACTAAATATTCTGGATGGAGAGCCAGAGGAAGACCAAGGCGACGATGGAGTGAATCTGTGGCAGACACCCTCAGGGCTCACGGAATGTCCCTCCTACAGGCCACTCGCCTTGCTGCAGACAGACGCCTGTGTCTCCCCTCGACACCCCCCGGTACAAGCGGAAGAAAAAAGTAATGGACGACCATGACAGTGTCTGGTCTAGGATATTATTACAATTCAAGTCTATGGGCGTCCATGACAATGCTCGGTCTAGGATATTATAATTCAAGTCTATGGGCGGCCATGACAGTACTCGATCTAGGATATCATCAGTCTATGGTTGTCACAATCTCAGATTGTATTCCTTGGGTCCAAACTTATGTTTTCTGTAGTAAGTAGAGATAGGCGAGGAGAGCCTAGCGGTCTTTTCATTGGTTAATCTTCTGTACCGGATGTGTCAAGCTTCTCACTGACCTGTGAATGATGCCCAGTCTGTGCAAGTAGTCCACGGCTGAGACGATCTGGCGTATGAATTTGGTCACCTCTGGTTCAGTCAGCCTTTTCCGCGCTGTGATGTAGTCCATAAGATCGCCACCCCTGTAAGGAAAAAGAAAGAATGATAATACATGAATATTTTAGTTCTTGGAAGAGTTTATCTCCCTCTTATCCACATTGGCATATTTGGAAATCTCATGAGAGTGCCACTCTATGGTTAAATAAGTTGTTTTTTCTTCCCATGCCTCTAAGATTTAAGACTCCTTTTCAAAAGAACGTGCATTTTATGTTATTAAAGAAAGTCTCAAAACACATTTATTGTTCAACACTATCATCTGTCAGTATAGGTCTTTTACGTCAGTGCATTGTGTGTGTGTATGTGTGTGTGTGTGTGTGCGTGCGTGAGTGTGTGTGTGTGTGTGTGTGTGT